CTTAAACACACGCTATAATTCACAATGATTTACACACTTTACTTACGGCTTGACTCGATTATCTGTCTCTATCTCCCTGTCTGCTATTCAATTATCTATGCCGTCACTTCTCGCCGGTCTTATGTATACAAAATAGAGGGCATCTGGCAAACACTCGACCCTTCAGGAACATTCGAGATACTCATTACGTGTTACCAGCATCACATGACTTCCGCTGTAGTAATACTATTATTGGTGAAAGAAGGTGTGCTGCAAGGCCTAGACACTCATCCTTTTATTGCTATCATAGGTTGTGAACACCCCGTTATACTATTCAATAAGTCTATAAAAAAAAAATAAAATAAAATAAATAAATAATAGCATCTACCAGCAAAATTAACTAGAAAAGTTTGAATGTTAATTTTTTTTTCTTCTTCTTCTATAGCCTAAAATATTTTCCCATCATTTGTTGAAAAGTACCCAGGAATCCAAAATTTCAAATATTAATTCTATATGTACAGGAGGGCAGTCAAAGTGTGCCTGCCATGACTTTCTACAGAGTGCCATTCAACATGGTATTCTACATTTGATGTCAGTTATCACCATTTCATGTGACCCTACATCACTGATTTCACAACATTTCATGTCATAGTAGAGAAAATATCGGATACAATGTATAGGAATACTTTAAAAAAAACGATAGACAAAACTATTTTTATTCTTCACATGAACACCATCTTGCACACTGACTTATCAGAGTCTCAGTCAGAATAACTTCTGCATTTTACAGATATATTTCTAATACAAAAAGTTTAGTAATGCACACAATTTTGTTTTTAGTACAAAAGACGTACTGTTGACTAAAAGTTTGTCACATTTTGTGAAGATACACTTCATAAATTTGGAAATATAGCCAACATTACTAATGTTTAATATGGGGTCATTCCAATGGACCAATCTTGTGCACATTCAGTTATAAAAATTCAAGTTTTACAAAGAATGATTCGTTTTTCTTCAGAAGCTCTTGAAAAAAAATACAGTGAGAGGAATCACTGTTGGAGAACTTTAAATTCTTCCTGTTACTCTGTCATGAAGAGTACCTGCTTTATTCCTAAATTATAAGAGGACAGCTAGTGTAGTGATTAGAATTTTCTCATGCAAGTATACTCTTCATTGATACAGTTTAATTACTTCTTGAACAGCTGATTATTTTGAATTGCTATAGATTACTATTTATTTTAAAACATTTATATTTCATCTGTTCTCTCCAAAACCTAATAAACATGTTCCTGATTATCACTATAAATTATTAACATATTTAGGGACTACAAGGGACCTATTGCTCCATTTAGGCTGTATGATCTACTAGACTAAACTAAAACTATTAAAAGAAAACAACCCTCAAAGCCATCTCTTATCATTCATATATTTTAACAAGCCTTTCCTTAAACTCACTTAAATTTACTGCCTCCACCACTTCCAAAGGCCAACTACCCTGTTAGAAAAATGTCTTAGCTGAAGATGACTCCTACCTTGCCAAAATTTATATTCTGTGTCCCCTAGTCCTACCATTTTTTCCACAAAGAATGGAAAAAGACAATGCATCAATACTATCAATTCCCTTAACACCCTTAAATACCTCAGACTCCTCTGTCTCTGTTTTTTTTTTTCTTCTTCAAGAGAAAACAATTTTGGTGATCTTAACCTCTCTTTATATGACTACCTTTCTATCCCAGGTATCATCCTAGTAGCCCTTCTATGAACCCTTTTCACCAATTCAGTGTCCTTCTTGAGGTAAGGAGCCCATGACTGTATACAATATTCTAAATGTGGCCTAACCAGTAACCTATACAATGAAATTATAACCTCTTTAGTCATGTATTCAGTATTTCTGTAAATACAACTTAAAATCCTATTTGCCCTACCATTAGCATCAGCACACTGCTTGTATGGCTTAAGAAACTGATCAATCACTATACCAAAGTCTTTTTCTTCCATAACATGAAGTGTAGTCCAAGTATCTCTTTCGTTTCTCTCAAAAATTGTTCATAAATAACAAAACTAGGTGATAGGTTAAAAAAAATACACGTGATCAACAAATGCATTTTTACTTGAATTCATATAGACACTGAGTTATGAAGTGTAAAGAAAGTGATTTTAAAACTATAAATCTTCTTTTACCTCCGTAGAATTCCCGTAGACGACCTGTCAGAGGAATTTTATATGTAACGGGTGATGGATTAAGGGTTGTAGATGGTGAAACTAAGGTTTGTTTTCTTAGTGTATATTTTATAGACTTTTGTTGCAACTTTTGATATTTTACATAACAGGATAACTGATATAAACTTTTAACTGTTTATGCATTATTAATTATATTTAGGTCATGTTTTGTGATGGATAAAAGTTCAAAATAAAGGAAATGCAAAGTATTTTTAGACTTGAAAAATGAGAATTTGTCCATTGTGTATAAAAGAAAGCTGCAATCAAACTAGTTGTTTTTTGTGCTTGAGAACCTTCACATACCTTAGTGATATAACCAGAAATGATAGTTATCTCTAATCAGTGGTTTATAGCATATGAGATGTAGACATAAAATCTATAAGTGATTTTCTGTTGGACAATAGTGTCTGGATGTTTTGGATTTTTCTTAAAAAAAAAAAAAGATAATGGAGTTTGTAAATAAAGTACAAATATTTCAAACAATGCAATATTAATGCTTTTGTGCTGACACTTAGTTTCATATGAATGATTTGTTTTGGTGGATATTTTTATGATAGTTTAATTTTTATCAGTGAAAACAAGCATATTAACTACATTAGTCTTAGCTATTGTTTTTCTAGGATGTATTTACCTTTCAATTTAAAATGAAGATTTATATTTCTAAAGTTGGGATAGCATTTTACTATAAATTTGGTAATATTGAACATATTGTATTTGTTTTAGGGACTTATTGTTGACCAAACAATAGAAAAAGTATCATTTTGTGCACCTGACAGGAACCACGAGAAAGGATTTTCATACATTTGTAGAGATGGAACTACACGTCGCTGGATGTGTCATGGGTTCCTGACTTTGAAAGATACTGTAAATATTTCATAAATTTGTAGTGTTTTCTGACATATTTTCTGTTATTTTTGTAACAGTAATGAGGTAAATACAAGTTATGATGTAATTCATCTGATGTGCAGTATTTTGTCTTTGCATATTCATTAAGAATCTTGAAACCATAACATTATAAGCTCAAAAATCTCAGAACAGTTTTACAGTACTTATTTGAATATAATAACTTTTCGTAAAAGTCATCACTCAACTCTTTGACATCTGGCAGGTTACACCCCTTGCCCATAAGCAAAATTGCACCATGTAATTAAAAGAATTATAGAAAATATACTTGTAGTCATTATTACACTCATTAAAGAACTTTACTGCAGATTTCCAATTTATTCTGTTAAACGTTGATTTCAGCATTTTCCAAGCAAAACATTAGTGATTGTGAATTTCCTAAATTTTTCTGAGCATAATACAGCACTACTAACTCCCTAAGAGGAAAATAAAAATAGTTTTAAATAAAATACCTCAATTTTGACCCTTGTAACTTCAATACGAGGATAGATTTATCAATTTTAGTCAAATACTGATTCTCAACTTTGCAGTTGTTGTGGTGTGACTTAACTGCCTATATCTCAGTTTTGAGAAGCCATAGGCTGTGATATATAGACACACACACACACACACACTTTTTTTTCCATCTGTATAGTTTCATTTACAAGGCTACTTGTTAGGCTGTGTTTACATCAGGGTTCAGTGGTAAGTTTAAGGGCTTGTAATGCTAAAACTGCAGCATTTAATACCTGCACTGAGCAGAGCACAGATGACCCATTGTGTACCTTTCTGCTTAACTATAAACATAAGGCCTTGTCTGCTAAGTAATTGCTTGAATATGCAAAGAAAAGCATCAAAAAGAAATCTAAATAGGAATATGTTAATGAACACTTACTACAAATAATAAACCTTTTAGTTGATAATTAAAAAAGTTGACTATCTTGTAATTTTAGTATAAAAAAATTATTTTATTGCACATCAATTATTGTAAACAGTGAAACTTTGTAAAATGAAAATCAAATCATAATTCAGATAATTCTTTCAAGAAAGTAGGAAGACAGAAATCTGTAATTTAAATCTAAAACAAAGATAAGTATTTTTAATTGGTTCTTAGAAAAAATATATGGGAATGAAATATTTTTGAAAGTTCAAAGTTGCAAATTCATACAAGTGTCATATATATAATATCCATTTCTTAGTAGAATAAGGAATTGCTAATTATTAAAAGAATGTTCCTACATCTCCAGTACTTTTTTTTACTTTCATTTCCTTTCACTCATTTTTTTTTCAATGAAGAGTGTTAAGATCTAATACATGTTCTGTATATGTATTTCACTGAAAAATATAGTGGCAATACAACTTATATTGTTAACAGTGATGTTTTAAAATCTATTTCAAGTGATGAATGGCACAAAAATGTGTTTTATTGTGTTGTGTACCATTTGTGTTTCGTTGTGTTATAGTGTAGACATTGCTGAAAAACTTGGAAAAAGACATAATAATGGAATGCATTATATCATATCTGGTGTTGAGGACATTAGAACTGTTGTGTGAATAATGAATGTTAGATTGTTGTATTTGTTGATTTTCTCAAATTCTTTTTGAAAAATTTAGTATTTAATATATTATGCAACTGTTTTATACATTCCTAAAGAAGGATGTAGTTACTTGTTAATGTTTTATTTCATAGTGGATAATTGAAAAATTGTTTCAAACTTGGTATTCCTTTACTATTTCCTAAAGGGCAGTACTTGAATGTGCCTAGCCTTTAGATAGAGGATATGGTAAAAAGATGTAATTAATTACTAGCTTACGTTTTTTAGTAGTTAGTATGTTTTAAAAATAAATGATATTGTTGTAGCACAGTTCTTATTGACAGGTTTGTTTTCAATTATCTGCTGAAGATTATTCAATGTCCATTAACAGTCAAAAATTAGTTTTTCTCCTCTAACGTTACATGCTCGAACACTAACTTACAGGCCAAAGTTTTCAGACATGCTAACCGTACTACACAACATAAACAAAAAATTAACTTACTTGTACAATAATGGTTGGAGATGGCCTGAATGGGTAATGAAGAAAAACTTTAATATAAGTTTAACACAACAGCAAATGTACAACATTTCAACAAGGTTTTGTCATCATCAGACTGTGCCAATGTTTCAATAATTTCAACTGAAGGAAAATGGAAAACTAAATGCTTAATTTATTTATGGATAGGTGTTTAAACTACTTAAGCTAAGCATTTGATAAAGAAAACCTGCTCACAGCAAAGCTTGTTGAAAGAACTTGTTGTGGTAGAAGAAAATGTTCTTTGGTGTGTGTGTATGTGTGTGTGTGTATATATATACATTTATATATATATATATATATAAGTGAAAATCCACACTATAAATATCTTTTTTTTATTTTCTTTTGTAATCAGAATTTTATACTAAATTTATCATTAGCTAAACCTTAATAGAGCCAATATTACGTATTTGAAATCGTGTGTTACTCTAATGAATGATGATAGTTGAGTTTCCCCTGGCATTTGTCCTTATAGATTAGAAACTTGTAACATAAAATGAGGTACAAAACCCCCCTTTTTTTTATCTTAAATGTTCAAAGTGACATTTTGAGAGTTATATTTATATATAAGTTAGTTTTTGTTGCAGAGTTATTTTGCCACAGTTACATTTAATTAAAAATATTTTCTATACTTCCACCCCAGTAGTATGTGCTTTTCTCCAAGTTGATGATAGCTGTATGTACAGTTTATGGGCAAATATAAAAATTGTTTGAAATGATCCTATAGCTTTTATGTTTATTTAAAAACTACAGTAACAGAATTTCCTGACAGTTATAGATTTTTATTTTGCTTAAATGTGAATGCATCTTTTTTATACAGTATGATTGAGTATTTTTTTCTTCTTTTTTACCAACAATTGATTTTATGTAAAACATATGTTGCTCTAAATACGTACATCTATACATGTCCAAATGTGAAATGTTCTTGGGTCAAAGAAGTTGGAATGTTAAATTTTAAACTTGAAATAGAAATTTAACATTTGAGTAATCAAATAACTTGAAAGTAGCTAAGTTTTTATTTTGTATAATAATAATATATAAATAAGTTGTTGATGAGCTTTATTAATATTTTTAGGTAACTTTTGGCACAGATTTTACTTTGAAAAAATACTCTCATTAAAGTTATTGTAACTTGTGTTATAACCATAAAATGTAAATATCTGTTTCAGTAAGCCAGTTGTGTGAGGAAAACAAGGTCAAGGATTAACAGACATAACTGTAAAATAGTGAAACTATTGAGAATTTCATAAAAATATATTTTTTTCTTTGATGCTTCTCGGGCAATAGATTTTAAATTTCTATCATTAATAATCTTTAAAGGGAGAACGACTGAGCCATGCTGTTGGGTGTGCATTTTCAGTTTGTTTAGAAAAGAAACAAAAGAGAGATAAGGATGCATCTGTTGTGACCATTGATACAGAAAATTCCACTTTCACTCGCAAAGGCTCTTTTCGTCATACTACTCTGACAGAGAGAAAACAAGATCCACAGGAATGTATAGTCGCAGGTAAAAAACGATGTAAATTAAATTTGAGCTAGTTGATAATTTTTAAGCTGTTCTTTACCTCTTCCTGTGTAATGATCGTAGGTTTAGCTGTTACGTAAGTACATCATTGTTTTAATTTTAACTCTGAGCAACATGCCCGTTCAAGTACATTTGTGCGTTAAATCTGGATCAGGACATACAAAAGTGAATATGTTTGCATTTGATGGACACACAAAAATTAGGCCTTTTTTTAAATATATTTTCAGAAGGGGATTAGTTCAAAATGTAAAAATTACATATTATGATTGCATGTAAAATAATAATTTTAAATCTGCATTTGGCTTTGTTTACCTATTATTCCAGTTATTATTAAGTTACCTGCAATAATATATGCAGAAAAAGGACATTTCTCTCCACTAATTCCACAATTTTTCTTAATTGTTTTTGGCCCAATGGGTCACTCATGACTCACTTGCAACTCAACATTTAAAATTTAATAGAAAATTAAAGAATTTCTGGACTAAAACTTTTCACAACTCGTATATTTTAACAATGTGAAATATTTATTGCATGAATGAAAAAAAAATTAAAAATTGTTCAAACTTTTTTTAATCAATATATCTTGGTGTCTGGATTTTTAAACATTACACCTAGATGGTTTTTTTGTACTAATTTTGCATGCTTATATTTATTTCTTCCAGTAAAATTTCAATTTGTTTCTACATTTTCTGCTTGTTTAGAAAGATTTTAACCTTTACACTTTGTATTCAAGAATGTAAGTGTTGTGTGAAAATTAGTGGAGCATTACAAAAGTTGGAAGTTAGGGTCAGCTGAAACCAAAATTAATGAAGCAACTTGCAGACACAGTTTAAAAACTTCCATAATATTTAGAAGCCTGGCTATTATTACTATTTTTTCCTGGTGATTTTCTTTTCCTGTCCTACCAAATATTTTTGTGATACTATATTTACTGGAAACAGGTGTCAAGGAAAAAATATTTCCTCCAGCTGCCAACTGGAATGAGTTTTGAAAATAGGGAAACTTCACACACACACATTCAGAATCTAAGAAAACCATTTTATTTTATTTTTAACTTGAATCAAAATCTGTCTTGATTCAAAATAATTAAAAAAATTCTAAATTTACTGAGTTTTCCTTTTTTTTATTTCAACTTATAATTTGAATGCTGGTCATGATCTGTTCTCTTAGCGGAGTTGTAAACATGTTTCTTTTTTTCTTTACAATTTGAGCAGTACCAAAATCGTTTGATATTGGGGCTTTTTGTTCTTTTATTTTTCTTCAACCCTTTGTTTCTGGCTAGAAGTTAATTCAGATTTATCCAAAAATTTTACACCTAACCAATTTCCTAGAGACTTAATGAGTAGCAGTCTATAAGTTTGATTTTAATATATTGCTTAAGATACAATTATATCTGTAAATAAGTGAGAAAAAGGGAATTTTTTAATATGATACTGCTTTATGGTACATACCACATAATTAATTACTTTTGTAAATAAACAATAAAATCGAAAGAACAGTAATCCATTTGCCAAAAAAGATGCAACGCCTTTCCCAATCATCATTAACACTCTTCCTTAATCCATGGATAATTATTAATCCATATACGTTTATCAATATAATATACATTGAATTATTTTCTTTATTTTAAAATATATTTTCAATGACAAGTGATGTATGTAATTACTATTGATGAACTCTCAGTGAAAAGATTGAATCAAGTGTGATGATTGTCTTATGCTTACATTATCCATACTGATTGGGAGAATATGGATGAATGTGTAGCATCTTGGTGATTTGATTGGCTTATGTCAAGAGATTTTAAACCAAGTGTATGATGATACTGTTTGTTGCTTTCAGCATAGCAGGTAACAGAGCTGAAAAAGAAAGGTGACTCAAATTTTGCTAAAATGGAAAATAAAAAGCGAACTCGGAACTTTGAAGGGAAATTTGAAGGCACTACGCTCAATCACATGACTTGTAGGGAAAACAATAAGAATATTGTCTATGGCAAAACATCGTCTATTTTGGTTATTATTGAGTATGGTAGGCTTGGCCTGCAATGACAAACTAATCAGAATGTGCAAAATTTGTTATTTATAGATCATACAGAGGCAGTGTTCTTTACAAGTAGTAAATTATGACTACTAGACATAAATTTATCCTTATAAAAAAAAAAAAAATATTTTTTTTTAAATATTCTGACTCCTGACAAAGGTAACAGTGATGCCATTTTAAAAGGTGAGGTCATTTGAAACCAGTAAATTTGAGTCTTGACGTGTTTGTATGATTTCTAGTAATTTAGTTTATCTAATAATGAAACTAAAAAGTTCCCCAATTAAATGTTAAGGTGAAAAATTGTCATGAATTAACAACAGGATTATCCTAGTGTTATGCCAGACTGAAAGAAATAAAAATATAAAATTCATTTAATGTAAAATGTAGTATTTTAATACTAATTAATCTTATTACAATAACAGTTATTCTGTAGTAAATGACATTACAGTGAAAGGTTAATTATCTTGAATATAAACTGCATGATTATATGCATTAATTTTTGCAATATGGTTGACCTTTATTGATGATGTTAAGAAAACACTTTGGTTTAAATTAATTTAAAGACTAAAAAATGTTTTAAAAAGCATATAACTCAAGCACTTCATCAGGGAAATTGGAAGAAATTATCAGGACTTCCAATCTTTTGTGAGGACTGTTCCTAAACAATATGGGTCCTGAGACTAAAGGAAAAGGTTATGGGTAATCTGCTAAGTCATGACAGTTTAAATTAGTATAAGTCATAAAGAGTTTAGATGATTTTCTGTTATGTGTCATAGCATAAAAGATTATTTGGTTATTCATCATGGTTGAATTGTTCTGTAAACCAAAAAAGTTTAAATGACTATTTCAGGAGTCACAATGGTATTTTTGTGTTGTGACTGTATGCTCTAATTTTGTAAGTAATACCATTACTATATTGATTACAATACTTTATTTTGCTTTTGAAGTCACTATATTGCATCATTTATTTCTGTAACTTTCTGCAATTTCTGTTGTAATTCATAATTGTGTCAGTGTTTTTTGGATTTTTGTACTACTGCTACATATCTTGACAGAAAGACTTAACATCTTGTATATAGGTTCTCTTAACCCTCTCACTACAGGTAGGTCAAAGTGTACATTTCATGAGTTTTTAGTTATGTTCAAAATTTAATTATACTACTTTATTATCATTGTATACAAATAAACTTGGCACCAAAACATAGTTAATAAATCAAGTTTTAATATTATATAAGTTTTAAGTTCTTAATTTTATGAGGAAATATTTTTAAAAATCCTCAATCTCCTCTAGTATGAGAATTGTCATTTGTTCTCTAGGTTTCCACTTTCTCTAATTTAGTTACCACTCCTCTGAGAAGTATGGAATCCAATGTAATTTGCTCATTATAATATAGATATTTCTAAGGTAAAGCATAATTTCTATAGCTTTCAATCTTATTTGTTTATGGAGTCATAAAGTAGAAAATTGAAGAACCCACTTGTATCACCCACCTACCACATCCTTTCTTTCACGTTTTATGCTATGTCATTCATAACCAATAGAAAGCCAAAGCTTTCTATCCAGTGAGGTATATTACATTATTATCAGTACAGAGTGTTGTTTATTTCATCTTTAGTTTGAAAGTTTCTTTAATGTGGTCATATCGACAAGATTAAGGTAAGATTTAAAGACTTGTGCTGTAGCTAGAAAGCCAGATAAATTATGATAGTTGTATGGTGTTATTTGCTTTGTGCATGTTATACTGTTTTCTTAGGTTGGTTATTTAAATAAGTAAAATTTATTTAGTATACTAGTACCATTAGTATTATATAAAAGAAAAAAAATAGAAAGTAGGCTTAAATTCCGTTGGCAACTAATAGCAACAAAAGGTCACAGGTGGGTAGATATATTTCTTGTTTTCATGTATATTTGGTATTTATTATTGCAAAAGTAACTGAAATGTAAAAATTAGAAACTTGTTAGGTAAGATAACTGGGGAGGAAAAACAAATTTTTCATGAGGTATGTTTCTAAGTGGGTTTTGCATTATATTATTTGATATGGTAATGTGAGTGATTTACAACTTGTGTAGCAGCATTATTAGTTACATGGGTCAAAGGGCAATAAAACAAAAATTAAGTACAAACAGATGTATACTGTTACAAGCTTTAAGCTATTTATAATAAGCAATTTAAGTATCCTGTTACAATTTAGTCATTCTAAAAAAGAAAAAATGATAATTTAGATTTATTTTGTATTTTTTATGGTGGTTACAGAGTTAGTCAAATAACAGATAAAATGTATTTTTAATGAAAAGAAAATTATTTATCTAGGAGGTTTTAGAGATTATTCAAATCAAATCTTTTTATTTTATTATTATTAATATTTAAAAGATATATGAAATGCATTAATAGTTGTAATATGGAAACTCTGATCACTTTGGGGTCACAAGGTTGTAATCTATCGAGTCTGTAACAAGAGAGTTAATTTCCCAAATTTATTTGGGAAGTGTTTTTGGACTTTAGATTTGTCTGAACTCATTAACGTAAAAATTGATAGGAAAATCTAAGAATAATATAATTTCAGATTTTTAACACCTGTCACATGAGCCAACCCATCATCTAAATATGTATCCAAACAGACAAATCATTCTGGAAAGATTTGGGTTGTTTTGATTAGAAAAAAAGGAGATGTTTGGCACTATTTTTGAGGTCTAGGTTGCTGGACCAGACCTGTGACGTGACTTAAGACTACACACAGAGAATTTAACTTGTAAGTGTAAAGTAAAATTATGTAGCAATGAACGTGATGGTTTAAGTGGAGTGATTAAGCTAAACTGTTGGTCCAGTTGAAATGAGGGAAGAACTTATTCGAAGATATCCCAATCGATTTGACATACCAGTTGAATCAGAGATTTGTCAATTGATTACTGCATTGATAGTAAAACGTAAAAAGAAATATAAAAAAATGGGCACATTAGGTTCATTTTCTTCAAAAGGTGGGGATTTAAATTTTATATAAGAAATCATTAGTTTCAATATTTTATGAAACTAACAGCACAATAAAGCCCAAAGATGGAGTGTTACACAGATGCACAATGTATTACAAGATGAATTTCCTAGCAATTCTCATAATAAAAATGACATTTCTGCAATGAAGAGTAAATATAAGAAGGATGGTATAATGCCTAGTATGGTACCACCATTGTATAATCCATATCAATTTTATCATGTCATATTTTCATTAATATTTTTTTATTTTTTTTTTTAGAACTTGTGCCAAGCTTCATTCACAGAGATCTATCAATATAATCCTAAATCACTGGTTTCAGGAATGACCACCAGCCCTGTTGGCCATCCTAGTTTCAGTACTAAAAGATGCTGAGCTGGCTCGTGTGGCAGGTGTTAAAATTTTTAAACCTAAACCTCATATGGGAGTCAGAGATAAATTAATTATCATTAATGTTGGAATGGGCATGTAAGGGATCATTTAATTTAAATATATATCTTTAGATTACAGAAATCTTCATATTGGCACCCTTCTAAGAGGGGATAAGTGTTTTTTGACAGCATATACTTCCTTAAAAATTGACATATTAGTGGTCATTTGAAATATAGCTTTCAAATATGTTGATAGTTGATGTTACCTTGAATTTTCATAAGTAATTTACTAGTATGCTTATGTGTGTGTGTATAATATTTTTTTTTTACCTATTGGCTAGGCAACTTGTTGAAACAAAAGTGTTTTGCTGGTATATAATTGAAGTTTAATGAGTAGAAATGTTGAAAGTGTGTCAGATATATTAGAACTTCATGTTACAGAACCACCACCAGTTAAGCAAGTACACAATCCCTATGCAGTTGAGAGACCTCATGCTACTCCATCAATGCTGGAACGTCAAGGTTCTTTCCGTGTTTTCTCTACCCTTAATCAGTCATCACCTTTTAAACGACAGTTATCTCTGCGTGTTAATGAACTTCCTTCTACCTTAGATCGTCAATACTCCATGGCACAGCAAACCCTAGGGTGTTCTACCCATATGAATGGCTTTTCTGGTAGGTTATTTGTGTATTAAAAACAATATATCAGAAACAGTGTTTCTTCTTCCTTGTAAAGTGAATTTCAAATATAAATGGTGTTATTTTAAAGTGAAAATGTCTGCTTCTATAACACCCAAAAGCATTGGGGGATATTCTATCTATCAGACATAAACAAAACAACAGATGCAAAACTGGAAATCAAGCTACAGGTTCATTAAGGGGGTTTGGATCTGAGTGCTAGAACCCACAATGTCTGATTTCACTACTACTCATTTTCTATAGCTAGTTGTTGGCATGATAGTTACCCATTGGTTTCTTTCAGAAAATATTGCTAAACCTTATGTTTCACTCTTTAGTATAAATGGTATAATTTTACATTATTTTGTCTTAGTTTGTTGGCCCAAACATGTATGTGTTGGCACGTACTTCTACAATGTAAATGTTGCACACACACACACACACACACACACACCTAACATGCAGAAGATAGTATTTTTTATACTACTGTTCATATTCACTAAGTGTTTGACTCTTTCCTTTTTACAGTTTCTAACCTGCATGTTTATGTGTTTTCCTTCATTTCTAACTTTTTCCTAAACTTAGCACAATCAGTGTGATTATTTTAATCTATCTTTTTTGTTTTTTTCTTTAGCCTGTCTAAGTAAGCTTACTTCATTCTTTTAAAAAAATTACATCAGCATTTAAGCAATATTTAGTATTTGAATAAGACTGCTTCTTAATTAATATACAACTAAGTTCATTTCATCATTTATTTACTACTTATTTCACAGGCTAAAATAACTTATTGATTGTTCTCGGGTAAGTAGGAGTGTGAAGTTATATTTTTACTAGTACTAGTTTTAAAAATATTTCTTAATTCTGGTAATTACTGCAATATGAAGAGTTGTAAGTAGACTAGAACATCAAGCCTCACAATGCACTCTGCTTTTTTACTTTTTTTGCTACATTTTTGAGGCTGTCTACTTCTTATTTTTAGGCAAACACACAAAGTTGTGTTGTGAGCATAGTCTAATTGCTTTTATTGTTAACTTAAGATAGTAAAATGTTTCAGAATCTGGTATTTGTTCAAGTTATAGCTTCTTGGTGACATCAGAGACAAGTACTTTCTTTTGCAAGATGAGCAAAATGTCTTCTCTACTTTCTTGTAAGTGACCTTAGAGTGAACATAGCCTCCATCTCAATGAAGAGTAACTGAGGAATGAACAAATACTTCCTTAGCTCAATATAGATTGATTTTTCAAGTTGAAGTATGTGCACCAACTTTTTGTTAAATAACACTTATTGTAAAAGTTGCTGTTTGCATAAGCTTTAGCTGAACATTGATTTTAATGTGAGAATGTGTCAGTCATGTCCTGAAATAGCTAGAACATGGTAATTTTAGCATAAAATTAATAATGTCTAATAATCTAATAAAAGATGGACTTGTTGTATTCCTTCTGCAATTTATGTCCGTGGCAGTGGTGCTTAAGATAGCCTATTTAACAAGTTTATATTTTCAGGATAAATAGAAAAAAAATTATAACATTTTAATGGAAATTAGAATCATTGGTTATTTCTAGAATTGATATTAGTATCCAAAACAAAATAAATGCTGCAATAACAAGTGCACAAACAAACAAACAAAGTAATACTAATTGGATAGATTTTAAAACAATTTTTGATCCCTACTTTGTTTGACAAATTTAGACTGCTTCATTTAGCTATATGGATCACAATGCTGTGGCAAGTAGTGTTCTAAGATCAGTGTGGATGACACAGCTTCATTTATATATATTTACTGATATGTTTTCATCTATACTATAGTCTCATAGCTTTTTCTCTGAGGAGTTGGATTTATTTGAGATGTATGCTAGTTAAGTTATTACTTATTTTTAATGTGTATTTCTGATGAGAATAAATTTGGGAGTGTAATGTAATGACTATATAATTAGTGGAATTTATCATATTGATTTAGCATTCAAATTGAAATTAACCACTTAATATCAGAGTGACTGCTGTACTTTTTCTTGTTTTCTGTAAACCAGTCTTCATAATTCAGAAAGAGTAACCACTTCTTTTTGCAACTAGCACATTTTGAGTTCTTTTTTTAGTTGCTGCAATACCAGAATCATCTCCTTGTGCAGAAACAAATGAGGCAGTTACTTCTATGTGTCAGCAGGTTTCCAAGGGACTGTCTTTTCTTGCAGAAAAAGATGAACCTTACCAATCCACAGTAGATGCCCAACATACCAGTCAACAGGTGTCAGGTATGTCTTGGGCATTTTACTTCTGACTGTTCCATCTTTAACAACATACAGCTAAAGTTTTGCATGTATTGTTCTTCTGTTTTATTAGGCTTTAAAAAACAAACAAATCTTCTAATCTGTATAGCTGTTTCCTTTATATCTAAAACATTTCTCTTTAATTTATAGTTGTTAAAATTTCAAATGCAAACTTCACTGATAATCAATAAGAAAAACGGAATAAGCAGCATAATGCACACTTATGATGAAAATGTAACTCATACCTGTCTATTTCTAACAGATAGGCCAAACAACCTTATACAGTACTTTAGGCTAGGCTATAATTATATGAATATTTATAGGCCCATTTTTAACATTACTAGTATAGTTATGTTATTGAGACATGACTGCATTATGAAGATGTCAGTTTGGATTAGCAGTAATGAAAAGCTTAAAGCAGAACATTAGTAGCATTAATAATAATAAAGACATGTATGTCAGATATGTAATAGTATGAATTAGTCAAGATTAATTTACAGTTTATTGATAGATGTAGTATATTTTATTAAGTTTAAAGTTACTCAATTTATCATTATACCAGAATCATTTTGGGAACTTTTGTTTCTGATGTGCTTAAATTTACTTGTGTAACTGTATTCACTACATAGCTACAGGTACAATATGTACAGAATGAAACTGAACAATTTTAGTAAGAAAAGATTTGGATAAAAATTTAAACCTATTAAATTTCAAAGACTTCCAGAAAATTGTTTGTTGGGAAGTCTCAGTTGCAGTGGTGTTGTTGTGTGTGGTCAGTGAATGGTTTAATGTTTAGTTTAATTCACTAACCTGAACTTGAAAACCAAAAAATGCTAAAGCTTACAATTTAATAAGAAATTTATTTTTGTATGCAGAAAATAAAACTATTGTCACATGCATCAGTGACTTGAAAGGGCAGATTCCCTGATTATTAATCCATCTTATTTAGATGTTCTTTTTGTTTATGAAAATGTTTTAATTTTCATAGCTTTCAAACAGATATTTTTCTTCTATATCATGACATCAGGTAAGCCTAGTTGAATGTAGGAAGTTTGGTAAATAACAGCAAAATATTCCAATAATATTTATTCTGTTAAAAGCATTTCAAGTAATACTACGAATTTGAAGACTGAGAACTGTTAAACTAGTATTTCAATACAGTTAATTGTTAAATATGTGGGGGAAAGACATAATAGAAGATAAAGCTATTTGTATTGGGTAGAGAAAGAAAAATGTACATTAACATAACTAATAACATAACAGGTATTCAATTTGTATGTTAACAGAAACAGAGGCTAGACACTAAATAACAACCATTGATGAAGGAAAGAAGTTTATGCTGAGCATTGTGTAGACTACACTTTTTGTGTGTGTGTTTGTGCACTGAACAAGAATCATTAAATGCCTTGGAAAGTAATTACTTTTTAAAACCTGTCTTGAATTATAGATATGAACTACTCAAAGTTTACTTAAATGTATTGTTTAAAGTTTTTATATAAGACTATAGGAAAATAATTTCTCGGATGTTATAAATACTTCTTCAAATAAGTTGTAATGCTTGTAGTTACAATGCATGCTTTGGGATGCAAGCACGTGTATTGGAATTCACTGTTTTATTGTAGAAGATTACAAACACTGTATATAAAATATGTTCTAATAAACAATAAGGCATATATTGGTATTACATATATCAAGATGGAAAATATAATATTACTGGAATAGAAAATACTCAGTTTTCATTTATTTGATACTTACTAATATTTATTCTTTTTACTGAATTTGTTTAAGATGTTAAATAAAACAGTAACAAAAAAGGATATAAAATGTGAAGGGTAGAAATAATTGTGGGTATATGAAAAAACAAACTTCGCAAACAGTAACGAAACAAAAGAAAAAACGGGAAAAGAGGAAAACTTAAATCCTTTTTTTTTCTTTTTGAGGAAGATCTTTTGTAAGAAAACTTTAAAAATCACTAATTCTGTTACTTATTGTTTGAGTCTATTGATCAATAGAACCAACAACATTTTTGGTTACCCTCAATGCAGCTTAGTTTATGCTAAAATGCTTTTGTTTTTTCACAGAAATTGTAACTGACTTTTTAGCCTAGGTTTTGCTAATAAGGTACGACTCTTCAATTATTTGAGCTGATGAATGTGGATTTATGAAAGTTAGGTTCAATTTCACAATTTTGTCAAAATGATCACCCTCAAAAATACAGTTATGAGTGAGGGTACCCAATGGATGAAACAACAATGTATTTTGATCTGCTAGAAGTAAGAGATTAAAAATACTATATTTAATTGCTATACTCACAACCAGGTTGATTTTTAATTTTATTTCATTGGGTAGCTTAACATGTAATTGCTTTGGGACAACATGGGATTGGTCCATCTTGGCTGTTTCATTCTCTAAACTAAACTAAAACTATTAATAAATAACTTTTAAAGCCAGCCCTTATCATTTAAATACTTATCAAGCTTTCTCTTAAACACACTTAAATTTACTGCCTCCACAACATCTGAAGGCAATCCATTCCAAAGGTCGAACACTCTATTAGAAAAATATAACTGTCTTAACTGAAGATGACTCCTACCCTGCCAAAATTTGTATTTGTCCCCTAGTCCTACTGTTCTCGCCATTAAAGTGTGAAAAAAGATGATGCATCAACACTATCAATTCCATTTACAACCTTAAACAATTCAATCAGATCCTGTTTAACTTTTTTCTTCAAGAGAAAATAATTTGAGAGACTTCAACCTCTCCTCGTATGACAACCCCTCCATCCAAGGCACCATTCTATTAACCCTCCTCTGAACCATTTCTAAAAATTCAATGTTCTTCCTAAGATAAGGAGCCAAAGACTGAACACAATATTTCAAATGTGGTCTAACCAGTGATCTATACAAGGAAATTATAATCTCTTTAGACTTGTATTCAGTATTTCTGTAGTTACAACCTGAAATCCTGTTAGCCCTACCACTAATGACAGCACACTGCTTGGATGGCTTAAGAGACTGATCAACCATACACCAAGATCCCTTTCTTTTTTTGACCCTGTCAATGTTATTCCCACCCAATTTATACTTCAAATTATACCCCACGTGCATTATCTTGTATTTATAATAATTAAAACTCATTTGCAATTTATTTGCCCAACTCACTAAATTATCTAAAACATTTTGCAAATCAGCAGCATTCTCTTCACAGTTAGCAACACCCAAGACCTTAATATCATCTGAAAATTTAAGTAATTTATTGATCGTTCCTTCATCTATATCATTGATATAAATCAAAAAGAACAAAGGTCTTAAGACTGAACCCTGAGGTATCCTGCTTGTAACATTAATCCATTTTGACTGAACTCCATTTGTAAGAACCCTTTGCTTTCTTCTATCCAGCCACTCTTCTATGTACTACTTATCTAACTTATTCCCCATACATATAGAGACATTTTTACAAGTCTTTTATGTGGCACCTTGTCAAATGGTTTCTAAAAATCCAGATACACCAAATCTATACCCTTATCCTCATCTACATAAGCAGTAACATTTTCAAAGAATGTCAAAAGATTTGTTAGGCAAAATTTTCCATTAGTGAAACAATGTTGACTATCCAATAAAATTCTGAACTTTGTTAAATGGCTTTGCAAAGCATCTTTTATCAGACTTTCTGAAACTTTTCCCACAACAGATGCAAGACTAATGGGTCTAAAATTACTAGGACAATTTTTATCACCTCCCTCGAAAAGAGGAGTGACATTAGCTAACTTCCAATCCTCTGGTACCTGCCCAATACTCAAGGACTGACAAAAATAGTAGC